CGGGGCTCTCCTGACAGCCTGAGGGCGGGCGGCCTCGTACAGCGTGTGTTTGCTTCACCTTAGTGTCGCTGCGAGCCGGGAGGTGGCCGAGCCCTGCGCGGAACCATGGCCGCCGTGGTGGCCAAGCGCGAGGGGCCGCAGTTCATCAGCGAGGCGGCGGTGCGGGGTAACGCGGCCATCCTGGACTATTGCCGCACCTCGGTGTCCGCCCTGTCGGGCGCCACGGCCGGGATCCTCGGCCTCACCGGCCTGCACGGCTTCATCTTCTACTTCCTGGCCTCCGTCCTGCTCTCTGTGCTGCTGGTGCTGAAAGCCGGGCGGCGGTGGAACAAGTACTTCAAGTCGCGGAGGCCGCTGTTCACGGGGGGGCTCGTGGGAGGGCTCTTTACCTACGTCCTGTTTTGGACTTTCCTGTACGGAATGGTTCACGTGTACTGAGCAGCTCCGGGCGAACGGAGCGGGAGGACTGTTGCCAGAAGTCACTACACAATAGCTCAGCTCACCTTCCAAACTGTTGTCCGTGGCTCGTGTCGTTAATGCTGTTGGTAAATTATGTCCAAGTACAAATTAATCAGTAGCGCTGTTCTAATTAAACTGAATGTGAAGCACCGCTTGGATGCCTCCTGTATTTGTTTCTTTTTTAAGGGATAATTTCTGTCCCTAAGAGCAGGCACAGCTGTGGGGTTTGGTTCATATAATCCCTTGTATCCTTTGTGTTTTGGATACACACACCAATTACAATCCTTTCTGGATGTGCTGCATGTTCCTACACACAAATATTGAAGCAGTAACACAGCACTCTGAAATAATTAAATTATTTTAAAATAATTCTGCTGACACAAGAAAATAATTAGTGGATGTAAAGGTTTGGTACAGAAATGTGCATGCAAACATCTTCCATGCCATCAGTAAATGATACTGTCACAGGTGCTTGTCACTAGTCTCCAGAAAAGCCACAAAAGGGGATAATTCCATCACCCACCATCCAGGTAATGCATTTCCTATAGCCCTGTTCCTGCAAAAATAAGTGATTAATTGATTTGCTTACATCAGTGTATCACCAAGAGAAGGTGGTGTGACCTAAAAAACCACGGAGCACTCTTGGGGAGCGTTGGCCTGAAGTGACACATTTTATTGCTGAACATGAAACACAAGGAGCAAAAAAAAAAACGTCAAAGTCAAGAAACTCCTGAGAAGGAATCTGGTTATGTTTTATTAACAGCAGGGGTTGTAGGAGTTGCATTACAGTCTAAAGAAAGGAAACATTCTAGGGGATCTGGGAGGCCTGAAGATTTAGATTCAGGAAATAGCTTTGGTCCTCACAAGAGGATGTTTTGGCAAGTTAAAACAATGGTTTCAGCAGAGCACAGTCAGCTTTGCACGTTAGGAGGAGCTGCTTGGTGACCAGGAGTTCTGCCAGGCCCTGATGTCACGCAGGGGGTGCACCATGTGTTTCACCATCTAGAAATTACTCAACTCCAATTAAACCCTGACAGTCAAAAGCCTGGGCTGCTGTGGTGGTAACTCTTGTGCACTTCCCCATGTGGTGGCTTGTGTTTGCCTTGAGGAAAAACTTGTGACATGGAGAGAAGGTTTTGGATGAGATAGAGCACCAGAGATACATGGTTTATCCTAAATGAACTCCACTGCTTTAATTCTATTTTCTAGTCCCATTTTTGGCTCAAAACACAGAAGCAGAGGGGGGGAACTAGACTGGGTGGAGTTTGCTGCCAGTGACTGGGTTCAGAGTTTGCCACTGCTAACAGAGGTGCATTTTAATTTAGGATGAACCTGTACCTCAGAGTAACAACCTTAAAGAAGTTAAAGCAGAAGTGGGTGCAGCTGCTGGTGCCATTTGTGCGTTCCATGGCAGCAGCTCCCTGATGCCACCCTCAGAGGCTGCAGCAGGAGCCCTTTAACTTTTGGTATTGAAAGGGTGCACAGAAACATTTACTCTTCATTAGGACAACTCCCAGTCAGGGGTAATGGGGCATCACTTACAGAACACAATGATATTCCTTAAGCCCTTTTCTGAGATTAGTTATATCCCCACATGCGGATAAATGGACCAAATGGGCTGCAGGGAGACTGATTCTGCTGAGAAAAGCACTTGTATTTCCTGGAGGTTACTGCTGTTGAAGTAGCAGGCAGATGTCTTCTGACTCTCCCTGGTGTTGGTGTATTTGGAGGAAGCTGGCACAGCCTGTGTCCCTGGCAGAGCTGCCCCTTCAGTCTGCAGCACAGCCCAGGGTGCTGTGAGAAACAGAAGCACTGAGTCCCCATCCAGATCTGCCCACCAAATCAGGAAGAGATGCAGGAAGGACAATCCTGAGCAAATGAAACCAGGCACTGAAGCAAGGAGGCAGAACCTGTGCAGGTGCTTCCAGGGCCACGTTGCTTCTCAGTGCATTAACCCCCATAAGAGTGACTGTGCTCCCCTGCCTCAGGCCCTGCAGGAACACAGCCCCTTCCCCAGCTCCAAGAGCTGCTCCAGTGCCACATTTCCCTGCACTTCTTGAGCAGAGCAGTCCTGCTGCTTCACACCTGATGTCACATCACCCAGGCAGGAGCTGGAGGCAGTAGCTGCCAAGACAGCAGAGCAGGAAACAGGTTGGATTTCAGCTTCAGCCCTTCCCAAAGTAAAGCACAGCCACAAAACAATACTGGCTATTGGCATAAGTACAGATGTATCTATCAGTGGATATAAAAACATTCATTTGGTGCCTTTGTCCTTTTATAAAAAATCCTTTTATAAATCCATAGTGACAACACACTGTTGCCAGCTCAGGATACCAGAGAAATCTCAGGGAGGAAAGGCAGTCTTCAGAGGAGGTTTTTTTCCTCTGGGAATCCTGATCATGGTAGGGCTGATCTGGGCTATGTCCACCTCCCAGTGCTGGTGTGATGCCACACCTGTGTGGATTTCCTGGAGCACGAGTCCAGCTGGCAGAGCCTCGCTGTGCCTAGAGCCCACCGAGCTGGTCCGGGCTCTGATTCCCATTCAGCGTAGGGCTCGACAAGGACTTCCTGGAGCTGCACCTGGGGAAACAAACACAGTGACAGGATGAGCAGGGTTTGTTTCAGGAGGCAAAAATGTTCCCAGCTAGGCCTGTCTCACCCCAAAGGCCCCTCCACACAGTGAAAGCTCCAGATCTCAGTTTCATGAGGCTCTTGGAGCTGCCCCAATTTCGGTCATTAGGGACCAACGGCACAAAGTCATTGCCAGTCCAACCGTGGCACAGCAGCTGCCTTTGCTCCCCAGCTCACTGCAGCAAGGAGTTACAGAAGAAGCCAATAACTTGGCCAAAATCATTTGGAAAAAATATATTTCTCTGGAACTGTGTTCCCGTATCTTCTATTTATATCACTCTTAACAAAAAGCTGTGATTTTTAAAGCCAGGCTCACTTACTTGACTTCCTCATACTTTTTGCCTCTATAAAAGTTACTCTTCTTGATCAAATACAGCAGCACCAGGTCACAAAAGAAAGCTCCCTGCAAAGGGAAAAAACTTGTATTTTATCTTTGAAACAGAAGTGTTCCAATCTCGTTAGAAATGAACATTAATTGAAGAATAACTTGTAGGAGCAGTGTTCTCCTTCATTCTCTATACATTTTCCAGGGTATGTATATATTACATTATATTATATATTATATATATATAATATATATATATATAGTTATATATATTACCCCACTCTGTGGGGGTGTTTAGACAAGCAGGTTTATTAACAAATGCTTTTAAGACAGGACACACTGGCTGAGTAGTGAAGATTCTGCTGGAGAAGATTTAATCACCCCATCCCATTTTCATCCCATTTGGGATCTGGGTCCCAATATGTTAATTTAAGACAAAACATTCACTTACAGCTCCCATGAGTGCCAGCCCCGAGCTGATATTGATAATGGTGGGAATGATGTTAAATTTCCCTGCCTGGAAGAAGAAAGGTCACAAAGTCACCCCTGAGAGAACAACCCACAAAATAAACTCGAGGGTGTGGTACTATCCTGGGGAAGCTGCAGCTGCCCCTGGGTGTGTCTTGTCCCCAGACACAACCACAGGGGATTTGCAGTGAACAGTCTTGAAGGCTGAAGGTCTGTGTCTCAGATCTGGCTGTCCCTGGCTGCATTTCTGAGCTTGCATCATCCCTGGATTATGCTTCTTTTCTCTCTGCAGTGCTTGCACATGGAAAACAAGTCTCTGGGGCACATTTATTTCTGTTGGTATTTACCTGAGCCTGGTTTTAAGTAGAGGAGGTGCAGGCTCGGCTGCACTCCAGGTGATCTCTCTTACATGGGGTTAGCTCCACATGGATGGTTGGGAAAAGCCTCTTCCTACAACAAGCCCCAGAGTCTGTCCTCACCTCACAGCTGCCTCCTCCCACTTCCTTTCTCTCCAGGCTCTGGTACATTCTGGCCTGGGCTCTCACCTTGCCATTCACCATCACATCGAAGCGGATTCCATACGCTTTAATGAGCGTCCGGTAGTCGACCCCCTCAGCATCCCGGTAATACTTGGCAAACCTGGAATACAACAATGCTGGGTTTAATTCCACCTGCCCCTCTGAATTCTCTCACCCCTTCAAAGTGATCTGTTCTCTTATCAAAGCCAGCTTTAGCCTGCCAGGAGCACTCTCTCCCTCCTCTGCAGCACTCTGTGCTTGGCTGTAGCAGTGTCTGGCACAGGCTGGTGCCACTCCACTGCCAACCTCCAGCACCTGCAAGTCCAAGCAGCTCAGCCCAGCTGTGGTACTGCATTGTACCCTCCTCTGTACCCACCTGAAGTTGTACCCAGAAGAGATGGATGTTTCTGCAGACTTGTTATCCAGCCGGCTAAAAGAATAGTGAGGATTACATTCAGAAGGGGCTTTATCAAGATCACAGTTCCATTCAATCTGAATTCCTATCACACCACCCTTAAAAGAGAGAGACAGGTTGAGTTGTTTAAGCTTAGTTCAGTTAAAGTGTCTTCAAATTTGTCAGACCCCTGGGCAGGTTTTCCCCAGGGACAAGAAACAGCTGCACTTTTGGTCACAGACAAGGGGGCACACTCCTGCCTGGGCTGAGTTCAGGTGTGTGATATTAATCCCAGTATTACTCTACAATCCCACTTCTCCCTGTGCTGGTATCCTGAGGTTTCTCATCCCCGGACATTGATTTCATTCCACACTTCAGTGGGGAAGATGATCTTTTATGCAGGGGTAGAGTTCCAAAGTTCTGGATTTAAACCAATGGTGCAGTAATGTTGAAATTAAACAAAGAATCTCTGCTGGCAGAGCAGCAGTTTGGGCAGCCCTGAACAGAAGATAACTGACCCAACCAGCCCTTTTACAGGACCCCCATTCCCTGAGGATAGGATAAATGGGACCAGCTTGACTTTAAGCACTGGCAGCTCTGCAAAGCAGCCTGGACAGGAGGCAGCTGCCTGGGCAGTGACCCCTCACAGCCTCCCAGGGAGCACTGAGCCAGCTGGGAAGACCCACAAATTCCAGGTGCACTCCTACCTCCAAGGCCATTTCCTGGAAGTTGCCCCCAGCCCAGCGGACGATGTTCCCCAGCACGAAGATGGGGCAGTAGGGATGCTCCTGGCTGTACCGACAGGTCTTCAGGTAGGACTCGTTGTCAGTTGCCAGCACATTCATCCTAAAAGTAGGAAAAAGGGAAATCCAACTTGGCTACCTCTTTTCTTGCCTTCACAGCCTGCACCAGGGCTAGAGACAAGAGGCTTCTCCAGCACCCTCTGTGCACACCACCCTTGTCACCCTGGCCTGGGGAAAGCAGCCTGTCCCCACAGAAATGACCTCCTGACCAGGGAAGGGCTTGGCCAGCTGAATCTGGGCTCAGGAAAGGATTCACACAGAACAGAGCTGCCAGACTGCTCCAGGGTCACCTGTTTTTCTCAAGGAAAAACAGAAGAATTCTAGAAATGCCTATCTGAGCTCAGGACAAGAGCCAGAACATGCACATTTCTATACTGCTTTAGTTTGCTCACATTGCAGCAGCAAAGACAAACAAATATTTTTAAATTTGCACTTTTTGCCAGCCTTGCCCAAGCACTTAGTTTTTATGGAGGAGGAGGAATATCTGTTGAGCAGGAGCAGCTCAGGAAACTGTGGTACTTACTTGGAGAACTTAAACTTGGGGAAGCGAATGGAGTTCTTGATGTAAACAGTGAAGTTTTCTGCGCTGCCCAGCAGTGGTTTCCTAGAAGAGAAGGGTTTGTTCTCTTTGTCCCCTGCCCACATGAAATCTTGAATTGCCATTTGAGAAGCAGCTTCATCCAATAGGTTGGATGGCGCCAGGCCAGCTGTGCCTTCCCCCACAGTGCCAGCAAGGGGTTGGTGAGGAGCGTGCAGGTTCAGGGGACACCCCAAGACCTGGGAACAGCCAGGGAGAGAAGCAGGGGGAGCAGAAGGCCAGGATTGCCAGGGGAGCCTTGCAGAGCCCCTCCTGCACTGAACAGCCAACATTCGAGCAAGCAGCCAAGCAGAGGGGACACAGGAGCTGCCCTGGGTGACACACAAGCCAAGCAACTCAAGCTTGGAAACAAGACACATACTTGGGCTTGTATCTTTTCTCCACTGGGCACCAGGCCAGTACCTCACAAGTCCCTCTGGTGCTGCCCCTGTCTTTCAAACAACGGCCAGTCTTAACCCCTGCGAGCAAACATCACAGAAAAGGTCACACTGAGCAGTCACCTCCTCTCCTTGCCTACAGGGCACATGAAAATAGAGGATTTTCCCTCTCCTCCCTTCCCTGCTGTGAAAGGCCCTCTCAGCTGGAACAAACACCCTCTTGTTGTGCCTCTGAGCAGCCTGGGGTTCCCTGACCCAGGCACCACAGAGCTGTAGGCAAGGCAGGGACCTTAATAAAAGACAGGAAAGAAAAGAAAGGCCTTGGTGCTGTCTGTAATCAGAGTTCTGGGGTCTGTGACCAGGCTGAGGCCTCTGGAGGACACCAGACACAGCACAGACAGGGACACTTCCATTACCATTGCCGGCCACCACTGCTTCCCCTTCCAAGCAGTCCGTGTCCTTGTCACACAGGGCATCGGGAATGCTGGCACTCTGCAAAGGGAGAAAGGACACAAGTGAGTGTGACAGGACACCAGAGCCAGAGGGGTGAGAGAACACAGCTGACATGGGTGAACTCTCTGTGTGACCACTAAAACCACACAGCTGAAGTGGTAACTGGGGGTCATGCAAACATATCCCACCACCAGGAGCACCAGGATTCAGCCACACTGTCCCAGTTTTGGGTTCTGCTTAGTCTGGGGAGGGTCAGACTGAGAAAAAACCAACATCAGTATTCACCAAAACCAGGCAGGAGGGCACTTTACTTTAAGATAACCCTACCTTGGATCTAAGCCATAAAGTTCTCTGGCCCAAATCTGCCCTGTCCTGGCTGCATGGCCAGCAGAGGACAGCAGTGCCCTGACCAATCCAGCTGTGACATGGAAATCCATCTGCTTCATGGACACAGCACTCCCTGCACAGCCAGAGACCTCCTCCCCCAGCCTCCAGCCCATTCCAAACATCTCCACAGAGGATATTCCACATGACACAAAGAACTCGTGCCTTTGGCCTTCAGGGCATGTTCTGGAAGGTGCTGAGCACCCACCCTGTGTCTGGAAGGGGATGAGAGCCTGAATGTTCAGCACTTTCCAGGATGGGGCTCTTAAAAATCTCCTCTCCCCATAACTACCCTGAGTCACATCGAAGCTGTTTTCCCAGGGCCTTTTCTAACCCTGAGAATCACTGCTTGGTCTCATGGCCAGCTGGGCAGAAACTCAACACCACCTAAAGTCAGGAAGGCTCTACATGATCAATGCCTCTGGAAATTAAGACAGCTGAGCCTCCCAGGTTTACAGTAATTTCCCAACTGAGCTATTTACACTACAGGAAAAAAACACTTGTCTTTCATCCTTCCTTTCTTTGTTGCTCCAGAAGTGTCCTCTGTCCTTACCCCCGGTTTTGCAGGGGTCTGGGGGTCAAGGGGCTCAATTCTTCCTACCTCAGGACACATGGCTTGTCTCTGGTTTGGGGTCACAATCAGATTTGTCATGACAAAGAAGACGCTTTCACCCTGCAATAAATAGAGAGTTAGAAAACTTGGTTTACTTTTAAAGGACTGGTAATAAGGAGCATGAAGCTCTCTTCTGAAGACAACAACCCCCTCTCTCCACAGCTTTTCAGGCTGAGACACAACATCACCCTTTGTGTGGATATTTGTTTGGAGGAATTCCCTCATACTGTGGATGCACACACAACCACAAGAGCCAGCCCACGGTCCTGCGGGGAGGCAGAGCACCCCCGGCATCTCAAATAACAAACAACAGAAAACCCCTTCCAGCATCACTTCCTTGTATCCCAGCTCCTGTTAATTCACAGGGAAGATCTGGATAGATCACTTCAGCACCCACACGGGGTGATGCCAACCTGGGGAGGGATGACATAGTCTGCAACGTCCCACAGCCTCTCCCCCAGCTCCGAGGTGTTGGTGAAGGCCACCCCTTTCAGCTTGGTGATGACAGAGCTCTGGAGGGATGTGTCTGTGTCCTGGTAGCCTTTCTTGACCACAAACACCCACCTGTGTGAACACAGCAGTTAGTTGGGGTGGTCAGGGAAGGAGTCAGACAGAGAAACTCACACCAAGGTCAAATCAAAACATGCCAGTGACACCAAACCCTCTGCAACTGCTACTTGTCAACAGTGGAGAAATGTGTAATAACAGGTCATGAGGTAAAAAACCAAAGCCTCCATCTGTGCTACACTCAGCATCCTCAGAGAGGGAACAGAAGAGCAGGGTTGTGTCTTTCTCAAGATGAAAAACACTGGAGGCTTTTGCAGGTTGCAGGGCAGAGTGTGGCTGGCTTCACAAGCACAGGACTCTCACTTCAGCAGGCAGCCACAGACCACGGCTGGGGACACGGGACCCCTGCAGGTGAGTTGGGTGTTCCTGACAGAAACCTGCTGGATATTCCCAGCTGGATACAGGGTCCTTTTCCAGCTCCCCTACAATACTGCTAAAATCACCTGCCAGGACAATAAATCACCCTTGAGGAAGCTGAGGATGCTAGGGCAGGTTGAGAGAGGGAAAGAGGCTGAATCTGTGGCACAGCTCCTGTTTTCAAGGGAGGGGAAGGGGCTGAGCAGCACTGGAGGCACACAGTCCTTCTCCTGCCACGTGTGCCAAACCTGCACATTAACATTCCCCACCCTGAGAAGTTTCCTGCTTTCCCCTTTTCCCCAAGAACATTGATTTTCTCTCCCAGGAGGGCTCAGAAACAGTGAATTTTCCTTGCATTTTCCGCAGCGAATCATGGAATAAATGGCAGCTGCATCTAAGAAATAGTTCAGAAGGGTTTGATGATCCCCACCCCAAGCCAGCCTTGGAGCAGGGACATGCTCCTGTAAGCCCCAGCCACAAAGGAGTCACTGCAGGGACCATCAGGGACAGTGACAGGGTTTGCAGATGCCAAAGGAGGAAATCAACCCTTCCCTGTCCATGCTGTATCTCTCTTAGCCCTCAGCAATGTTATTCACAGGATTCCTCCCTCAGCCACTCTGTGCCAGACTGCTGAGGCTTCACTGGTGCTCTGCTCCCTGGAGCAGGCTCTGGGACTGCACAGCTTTCTATAAATACACCCAGCACGTAAAAATGACTCTGCTATATTTAATCACTGGAAACACGAGGTGTGAGAAAGGTGAAGGGACCCAGAAGCACAGACAGTGAGGGGACAGAGCTGGGTGTCACAATCTGAAAAGCTTCAGAAACTCAAGAATCAACAGCACAGGCTGGATAATTCCAGCTCTGAGCCTGCAGGGACAATCCCTGTGCCCATTACACACCAGTGTGACCAGTCTGCTGCAGAACTGGGCCTTTCCCAAGCTATTCCTGAGCCAAGCTGCCCTGCTCTGAAATGAATGCAAAGCAGCCGACATTCCCGCTGCCTCAGCCCCCACAAGCCTGGCTGCTGCTCCCACTCCAGCAAAGAAATCTCTCACTTTCTGCTTGCTTCCTTCTCATCTAGACCTGAGCAGTTCATGATGCTGTGCAGAGAATGCAGGTGTGCCCCAATGCTCAGCGCTGTGGCTGTTAATGCTCATTTTTCCTGAGGAGTCAAGTGGTAGGGTTTGGCACCATTCCCACAAAATATAGAAATAAAGGCATAAATAATGTAGTACAGAGCCATAGTCACTGGGTCTATTTTTAACCCAACCTTAATCTGAAAGGTAGAGCTGAATCTAGCCATCCCTAGCAGATGAAAAATCAGATATAACCTATTAGACATTACAAAATGCAGCTGTATAAACATGTCTGATTATCTGCACTGAAATCAGGAGGCACGGCAGGCTGTCACTGTATGCAGAGTACCCTAATTTATCTTTATCACAGCAAAATTCATCTTCATCACAGCAAAATCCATCTTTATCACAGCAAAACATGAAGAAGACTGTGATTCTTACCCCACCAGGTAAGCCAGGATGGAGAGCTGCACCACTCGGTAGAGGACCCCAACCTTCTTGTTCTTTGCAATGACGTATTTCTCCGTTTTATAATCGAAAAGAGACAGAAATAAAGCCTTCCAAGCCACCTGCCCCATGCTCCCAGCTCGCTTGGTGGCTGGAGCAGGCACAGCTCGCACCACCCACACTTGCAGAGCGTGGAAACCTGACACACCAGCCTTGATCCCTCCCTCAGCTGCTCTCCGGCAGCAGCTCAGTCACAATCCAGCAGCTGCACTAAGACACATCCTTCCTGAGCTGCTTTCCAGCTGATTCATCCCTTGGGAAAGCCCCTCTCCCCCCTCAGTTTTACCCCCAGGTTTCATTCTCTCCCCACACAAAATGTTTAGAATGAAATATGTTTTAGTATAAAACCGTCTTCACACATTCACAGAATGTGCTGAGCTGGAAGGGACCCACAAGAATCCAGTCCAGTCCCACTCTTAGCCCCACACAGGTACCCCAAAAATCCCACCCTGTGCCTGGGAGTGTTGGCAAATGCTCCTGGAGCTCTGTCAGGCTGTGCCCATTCCCTGGGGAGCCTGTTTCCCCCTCTGGAAGAACCTTTCCTGATACCCAACCTGACCCTCCCTGACACAGCTGCAGCCATCCCCTCAGGTCCTGTCACTGGTCACCAGAGAGCAGAGCTCAGCTGCAGCATCCAAGGGGACACAGCTACAGTCTCTCACCATTTCTTAATGATTTAAGCCTTTCTTCAGCCTTTACAGGATGACACCACATTGGATTAAATTTTTGATTTCTTTTGTATGAGCGAAGAGAGCCAGGGTCCTCAACAGTCAACCAAAATACCTGCCTGGTTCCCACACCTTCACACCAGAGCCCAAATTAAGAAACTTATGAGTAAATTCTGCATGTGCCTAAGGATAAATCAATGCTTTCCAGGAGCTGGACTTGAGGAAGCAAGCACAGGTAACAGAGAGGATGAGCATTCTGGGTTTGTTTCAGGAAGCAATGTGGGCAAGAGGTTCCCAGTCAAACCTGTCTCATCTTACCCCCAAATGCCCCTCCATGCAGCAAAAGCTCCAGATCTGAGTTTCATGAGGCTTCTAGAGCTGCTTCAATTCCACCCTGGGTCATGAGGGACCAACAGCTCAAGGCCAGTGGCAGTCCAGTGACACAGCAGCTGCCTTTGCTCCCCAGCTCACTGCAGCAATGAATTACAGAGGGATCCAGCAACTGCTAAATTAATTTCAAGAAATACAATTTCCTGTAATTTACCTCTGTTTGCCATTAACAATTACCGTGCTCCTGTATCTCCTTTTATTTCTATTAGGCTGAAAAATAAAGCCAGTGCCCTGCACAAATCCCTTCCCTGAGAAAATCATTCTCAAGATGTCAGGCTTTATGAAAATTTTATCCTTCATCCTCCTTAAATTCCATATCAAATTTAAAGAGATGGACCTGGTTTTTAATGAAGTTGCTCCAAATCACAAGAGAATCACAACCAGAGTCATAAGGAATGAAACACTCCTTTTATCACTCATCCCAGAGCCATCCCTAGAGTTCCTCTGCAAAGGGAAAGAAACCTTTCGCCAGCACCTGCAAACTAGAGCACCAACCTGCCTGTGACAAAACTAGAACACAAACCACCTTGTAACCTGGTGGCTGCCAGAGCAGCTCTGCCCTGAGCCTTTGTAGTTATTTTCCAGGTCAATTAATCTGAGAAAGGATTTATACTGCCAATTAATCTGAGAAAGGTTTAAAAAAAAGCTCCTTAGAGCAAGAAGTATTCTGCTCCAGGTATGGCCTGAAGGTATAAACCACTTTTGATCACTGAAATGCAACTAAAAAAAAGAATATAAAACTGATACTTTCTTGTGGTTTTGGAGGCATCAAGTAGAGGCACAGGTTCAATAGCGTTTTTGGAATAAAAAGTTTCCATTTGTATCAAATCTGCCTCAGAATACTGCTCAGCACAAGCTATATTTTTCCTGACAATGCTGTTGCTGCAAAAATTTAGTTTGTACTGAACTGCAAAAACAATTTAGCTGGGACTTTGTGGCATGCTCTTACCAGTGTTTTTGTATCACCTGGTTTTCACAACCTTGTTGGTTTTTTTTCTTTGCCTGGAAATCAAGTCTACTGCTGGGTTTGTTAAAGTGTGTGTGGATGTTCAAACAAAAGCAGTTTCGTTCATAGCAGGGGACTAAATAACCCAACGAGGTCTAATTGTCATCATTTAAAGATGCAAATAATGTAGTCTCTTAGTTCTTCTCGAGGGACAGAGGCTCAGTCATTACTGAATGGTATTTTTCTTTTTGAGTTCCACATCTTGAATTTCTCATGAAAACAAAAAAAGCCCCAGTCCTGTTCCATTCCCACAAGGGCTCTTTGCTCAGTCTGGGACTTCTCCCAGGCAGGATTTCTCCTCCAGGATTGAAACTCCTCCTTTCTTTCCTTTCAATTCCTGCCATGTCACACCTGTATTTAATTCCTCACACTGCTGACATTGATTCCCTTCTCATAATTCACACATATAGTACACATATCCCTGTCTGCTCAGACTCATCCTCATCTACTTTCCCTCCACCTGTCAGTCTGGAGCTGATCTCAGCCACCTGAAGGGGCTGTGAAAATTCAATTTTCAACCTCTACCCTGATCCAGGGGCATTTGAAATGCTGCACGTCACATCTGATGCTGGGGCATGGAAAGATTCCAAGATCAGCCCAATAATATCTTTATATTACACCAAACCAGAGCAGGTACTTTGCAGACATTGGCAGACAGCTCTGGCCAGGACAGCTGTGCTTCACCAGGCTGTTTTTGGGTTTTTGGGCACTCATCCTGGTCATTTCCAGTGCCAAATGATCACCCCCAAGCACTGACTGATCCCCACCTGCCCCTCACCCTTCTGCCACTGGCTCCCAAAGGCTGGCTCAGAAATCTGAGATGTTTCTCCAGCACGGAAATGCTCCTGCAGCAAATGTTTGAATGATATAGATCCATCTTGTCTCAGAAACAGGCGCCAGAGCAGCAACTGAAATAGCAGAGAGACAGGGAGGAAGTAAAGAGGAGGTTTGGCAAGGAAATGAAGGGAGGAAAGGCAGAGATCAGCTCTCTACATTACTGGTTTCTTGTCACGTTACCAGATTTGTAAGTCAACATCTACAAAAAAACACGGTGAAGAGTCAAAGCTGAGAGGAAGTTGCTTCAAACCACAGCTCATGCCCACAGAAATCAGTGAGATCAGGCATGAGCTGCTCTCTGAAGGTGACAGGTTTGGATGCAAGAGCAAAGAAAGGTGTGGAGCCCATGGAGAAAAATGCTTCTCTCTTCTCTCTGTTCAACTTCTCTTGTAATCCTGGCTGGGACTTGGTTGGGTAAATGAGCCACTCTTTATCCTCCTAACCAGCACAGCTGCACACCCAGCCTCAATGGAAAGGGAACTTGTGAGAAGAGTTTCTGTCACAATCCACAGAAGCATCCAGAACTGTCTGTAGGAAGAGAAGGGAAATGGGAGTGCTGCCTTTGCAGAATATATTCTGTCTTTGATTCAGCTCTCCATTTCCAGGAGAGCCATTTTCAGCCTTTGGATGTGTTCCATGTGCCTCCCCAAATCCTGAATCTCCTATACAGAGTGCAGGAATGCTGTTATTATTAGCTGGAACATTTATCCACTCCTCTCCCCCAACCCAAGAAGGGAAAGTGCTTGAGGAAGAGGATCAGAGGAGAAGGAAAAAGTAGTGCACATCTAATGAAACCAAGGCATCATGTCCTGTTCTGTGAGGGAGCTGGTACTGAATAAGAGAAATCAATAAAAGTGCACATAAACCACTGCTGAGACACAGCAGTGCTGGTTGCAATGAATTCACCACCTAAAGTCAGACAATAAAAGCATCGCTGGGAAATAAGAGCAGAATGTTGAATCAAAGCCTAAAAGCTGAAAGGGTTTAATAAAAAGTGTATTTGTCACCCTGAAAACTCAGCTTCTGAGCTTGCTAACATGGTTTTGTAAAGACTTTCCCAGGACAGTAACTGCAAACATAGATATGTGTACATTCTTTCTGTTACACGTCTTGTGATGGGCATCTCTCATGGCCAGTGCAGTGAGAAAGTGTTATTCTGATCATCCAATCCCTGGCCATGGTCAGAAGCCTATAAATCCTGGGAGGAAAAATAAACTCTGCTCTTTCTTCACCACACCTCGACCTGTGTCCGCGTGATCTGTTGATCTTCAGCGGTAACGTGTATTCACATTAACCACTGGTTTAAAGGTGAAACCCTGCTCTTCAATACACCCAACAGATCAGTATTTACTTCTTTGATTACACAAAGACATGAAATTGGTCCTGGCTTGATACCTTTGCCAGCTCTTACCTTGCTGCAAGTACTGAGGAGAAACCTTTATCCCCTTCCTTTCTCATGGAAACAGCTAGAAAATTTAGAATGTGACCTGCACCCTTTCCTCCCTGGCATTACCAGCCAGTAACTCCTTACAGCCACATGAAAACACAGGAGCTACTCAGACTTGACCCCTGGAGGAAGAAGTTTCAGCCTGGCACCTGAGCTGACCTCAGGTCTGCTCTAAACCAGTGTGACCCTGATGCTCCAGACCAGTTGGCATTTCCCCAGCTCAGCACGAGGCTGATGTGTCTCAACTGGAGCCAGCTTAGCCAAGCTGGAGTGGGGGAGCCAAAGCAATCTGTTTGTGGTGGTGCAGCATCACCCAGCTCATACACCCTGCTGTAATGAGGACAGGAAATGTCTCTTTAGAGCTATGGAGCCCTGGAGCCCAGCAAAGCTCTCTGTGGCTCATCTCTGATGTCCTTATGTCAGTGCCCCACGCTTTATAGTGAAGAACTACTGATGCCCTTCTCCTGATGAGCTGAGCTCCCTTTCTCCTGCAAACACCCAGCTCACTGCATTCCCACGCAAAGCTGGCAGCTTCTGAACAAAAAGAGGGAAACCCAAGGTTTGGGAATCTTCCTGGTGTGTGAGGAAGCCATAAGCAGCTGGTGTCATCCCTGATTAAAGCAGCACCACGAAACACAGCGTGTCCTCCTGAGGGAGGCACAAAACTGTGAAGAAATGCAAAGCTGGATAAGTGATGGGGCCCACAGAGATGAAACCAGGAAACTGTGGCTCTGCAAAGCCTCTGCCACCTTTGCATGAGGCAGAAAGGTCATGAACCATCCTGGCAGCCCCAAGGCCTCTGGGAGATCTGCAGCAGCTCCTCTGGCCCCCAAAC